GGAGTTAAGGGGAGGGGGGGTAACGAACCTAAAATAACCGCGTGGGCAACACAGACCCCGAACCTGCGTGGGTAATTTCCGCACAATCCCCCCAGACTTGCGGAGGCAGAACTGTTATGTGATTAATTACGTGATTAATTTTAAACTCTGGCTTTTTTTTTCCCCTCCAGGTTGGGAATGGGTTAAATGGGATGAATTTCCTCCAGCAGACCAACTGTTCTGGGCCTTACGCTGTTTAAGAGAGCAAGGTTACAACCCCTTTACAGAAGAGCTCGATCATCTAAAGGGGTACACGGGAAGTCACCAATTAGTGTAGAAACTTAATTGCACATTACGTAAGGAAGTAAAGGGCAGACCTGCTCCTTTGGTGTCCCTATGTGGAAACGTTACCCTTCCCAAAGCCAAAAAGATGCCAGATGTTCCAGTCCTTTTACCGTATTTCATACAACAGTCACCTCTCATTCCAGAGCTATTTCTAGCTCTAGTGGTCAACCAGGTTTTCTTTCACAGAAAACTCACTGTGTTTTACCTGGTTAATCCTTATGTAGATTATAACCCTTTGGAAGTCAGAACTACTCAGAGAAGCTTACTCACTTGGCAACAGTCACAGCATCAGGCCCAAGAGAAACAGGTTTGTTTAAACCACTGTCCTGCTTTCTATGTAAAACTACTTTGTAGTTCATGCTGCTTTCCTGTAATTATAAGTCTTGGACCAATTTTTAAACTTAGCCTGGTCTCACAGCTTCAGTTAAGATACCATTGTGAGCAAGAGACACATTTTCCAGACAATGCCTTGTTCTCCTACAGACTATAATATATACTTGAAAATCAGGGTATTATAAACACAAAAGAGTTGCGGTGGCTTGGTGTTAGGGAATGAAAATTCCCTGACCCTTCTTGCTACCCCCTTTCATTACAGGGTTCTGGTTGTGGCCTCAGTTACATTAGAATTTACCATGTCGGATCTCTGCAGTTCGTCTTAATTCCCAATCATGTTATTAAACTCTTAATGGAGAGGTGCCTACAGTGTTCTACTAGGCTGACACAAATAACATTGTACAAACTAATCTCATTTACAGGTGTAGCTCTACAGCAGACAGTCATACTTTTTGTCTAAAGAGGGGTGTCAGTATTAAACTACAGCTGGGTGTAATTCTGTACGGCTACTGGGATTTGATAAAATTGTTAATCTTCGGTTTGATGTGACTGAATTATTGAATTGGTAGTGAATGAAATAACAGTACACAAAGATATATGCAAAACCAGTGAGTTTACATTTTTAATTTTTCTTGAATCTGTGACCAAATTTGATTTTTTCCCAGCTGGAGTCATTGCGACATCAGCAATTAACTTTAGGATATAACTTAAAAAAAAAAAAACAACACTAATTGGCTCATTTTTTTTCTCTTCAGGGTTCTTTTAAAACACAGTTTTTGTTTCCTTTAAATATACCCGTTGTACAAAATGTTCTGATATACCTTTAATTTCTTTTAAATAAAATATAAGCACAATATTGAAAGATTAAAATTGCCTGAAATAATGAACTGACTTGTCAGTTCTTAAAAGAAAAGAGCTTGAAGTGTTTAAAGTTCTGCCTTACTTTGCATATACATTTTCTGAAATGGAGATGGCTCTTTCTGCCAAGAAGGAGAGTGATATGAAGTATAAGGATGCTACCGACAATCACAAGCCTCCTGCTTAGAATTTGAAGTATTAACTACACGCAACTTCCCTTAGGAGAGATACTCTTTCTCTGAAGTGAAGAAAGAAGATAATGTTATAAAGCAGTTTTGAAATGGGAAATATCACTGAAAATTTGTAGAAAGCTTATTTTTTTTTTTTATTCAAAAGTGGAGATTTTCTTCCTGAAAGCAACTTTATGTACACTGAAAATTATTCCATTCATCTGTCAACAAAGAGGCTGCAGGAAGAGCTGACAGATGTCCTGCCCATCTGTCCCAAAGAATAATGAAAAAAAAAAAAAGGATTTAGTGCAATTTTAAATTTCAGAAGGCATCTAGCTCCTGATGGGAAACAGAGCTCACTGTAAAATGGTTCATCATGCAATAAATATTTTATTACCATTAATTGCTCTATTCATTCTATTTGATGTAAATATAAAAGTAGTTACTGAAAAGAGGACACAAACTACCTCCATATGTCAGGGTTTCTGTATCCTTTCTAAGAGGGCTGATTAAATGACTACAGTGCATTACTGCATTAAGTTGCCAGCAATCCCTAACTTAAATAACTTGTTTTGTATGTATCATGCATTTGTACTTCCCCCCTCTTCCCCTGGAAAATTTGATTCTCAGAAGCTTTTAGCTGCTAAGACTCGGTCCTTTCAACTAAATGTTGTTTACTTTGATTTTTGGTACTTTTGCTATACAGGAAAATCTACTGTATACACATCTAAGCCACCAAATAACAGAACACACAGTTTAAACTTTGTGGTTTGCTAAATTGCTGGTAATAGACAGAATTCAGCTAAAATGGCATTATAGTTATCCAGGATTGAGAAAAATACTCCTGAACAGTACATAGTTTGGAGCACTGATGTAAATAAGCTGATTAGGATGCATCTTATACCCAGACTCTGATTCTGTGCTGTGAACAGTGGGCAGAGCCGTCTTCTTACCTATTTCTGAGATGTAACACCACATTGGTCCCAATTAATCCTTTAACAGACTAACAAACAACCCAGAAAAAGAAGTGGTCATTGCTTGTGTTCACTCTTACTTATGTCTGGAAACAATTGCCCACCTCCATGATGTTTCAGTTAGTGATAAAGCCATAGAAGAGTTTTGGGCAGACTGTACATTACACTTTCCATGACTATTATCTCTATTTGTATTTGATTCCCAGCAAAGAATGTCTTTATAAATGAGAAGACAAAAGAGACTAGTGAGCTGTGGCTGTCATAAGATGTGTTAAGAGAGGGGCTTTTAGGTAAGAAAATATTAATCCCATGGTACAAAGCATTAAGAAACCACGTTTTACAATATCATGTATGATTCTGATCACACATGTTTAAGAAAAAAACAATGTGAACAGGGGTAAGCAAAGTCAACTAGGGTGACTGAGACAGGGCAGGTGTGTTTGAATTAACACGAATTAAAGAGGAAATACAGTTCTCTATAAAGACATTAGGGGTAAACACCAAAGAGGAAAAGCTGATACTGAATAAAGGTTAAAATTTGTATGCATATGGCTAACCAGACTGCAAAATACAGGTGAAATTTTAGTAACTCCGAAAATATTTCCAAAAGGAACATCTAAGACAAAACCAAATTCCCCATTTCTCTTTTAAAACAAAAACCACTGCCCCGTATTACGTGTCCTTTTCAATTCTACATCCTTATGGGACTTACACGTATGTTGGTCATATTTGGCATCATTACTTTTTATTTATTGTAATATGTAATAAATTACTATTTATTACAGCAATATTTGAAAGATTATCTGAGCAAATGAGGAAGGACCTGATTTATCAGATACTTCCTGCAAGGAATCTACGAAATGGAAAAGTGGAGAGAATTGTGATCTGTGCTTCATGAAGCCTTGTTGCAGGGCAGAAACCTGTAACTGCCATGAGCAACAGTTCACATAAGTAACACTCTGATTAAATCAGAAAACGGAAGAGAAGAGTATCTGTCATAAAATTACTTCTTAAGCAAAACAGACCAAGGAAAGGAAAGCCAAGGGAAGTGCCTTTGGAAAGATGAAAGAACATTGTAGCTGAGGCAGGAAATGCAACTGCTGAAGTAAGCAAATTAGCAGGTTCAAAGAACTGAAAAAATTATAGGTGACAAGAATAAAGAGTCTGTGAGCACTTTGAACTGAAAGGAGCTGAACCTGCAACACGCCCCAAAGCATGTCATCTCCAGGGTCTCAGGATACTTAACCAAAGTATGGGTGAAGCCTTGAGAATGGGCATCTACATCACTGCCTCAGGGTCTGCAGTTACCTGTGTACCTGACAGAGCTCAAGGAAACGGACAGACCTTCACTCAGCTGCTTCTAATACTGACTTGGCATTTAGCAAAGGGAAAAACGGAGTACCAACTTCTGAAACTCAATCAGAATTCAACCACCTACTGGGATAAAACATGCTGAGTATTGAAGTTACACAATAACTCATCCAGGATTTAAGTTTGCATAATGAAACGTAAAGTTACTTAAAAGCTGAGTTTATTTATGACAAATCATTCATTATATATTACAATAATTACAAACTTTTTTTTTTTTTTTTACCTCTTATTGCTGTATTTCTGTTCTCGGCACACACAGGATGATCAAGAACATGGATTTAGGCAGTAACAAAAAAATATATTAAAATTACAAATTTCATGCCTCATTTCTGTGCCATAGAAAAGGCTATCCTCAGAAGAGTAAACTTACTAACAAACATACAAGGGGATTCCCCTTACACCTTTTTTCCCAGGAACTTTTGTCATCTAATGTATAGTAAATATATATATATATATACACACACAGGTCTCTTGCAAACATACACATTCACACATTTACATAATCACTGGAAATTTGACATCTCTCCTCCAGCAGAAAGCTCCCAGTCATTTTACTTGAACATCTAATGGAAAAAAAAAAATATAATTCTGAAGTCCATGGTCTTAAATGTCATCCTATTTCTGAGCCAGCTATTATCCTCTCCCTACACAGGGCCGCCAGCGTTAACAAAAGTATTGCAGTTTGTGATGAACAGCATCCAACCTACCTTCACCACAGGAAAGGTCTACTAGGGATACCGTCCCTCTGGTACCTAGTCTGAGTCACTGCTGCTGCTTGAGGAGTCTGTTGACATAACTTCTACATCATCTTCATTCTCTTTATTGTGTCCTGGAGGCTCCAACATGAAGTCATTACTATGATTAGGAGGTAGCATGTTCATTGACATATCACTTGACTGCCAAGGGTACTGAGGAGCGAGCACATCTAGAAAAAAAAGGCATAATCAATCAAGCTATCAGCTTTGGAGTGAGCACGTCTGGAAAAAAAGGGCATAATCATTCAAACTATCAGCTTTGTATACCAACAAATTCAACAAGACAGCTCAATCAGAACTCTGATTTAAAATTAAAACAAATCTTAAAATCCTTCCTGAATTTTGGACAGATGAAATCCTCCAGTAACAGCTGGAAAGTATCTCACAATGGAACTATTCTATCGCTGTAAAAGCCTACTCTGCCATTTATGTAAATGAGGCCCATTTATGTAGGTGGCTCTTGATCTCTCCTCACTCCACTTCAAAACAGTATATATTCATACAGAGCTTTTCACCTTCCAAGCACAGTTTGAACTGACTTAACTTTCATAACCACTGGCAGTAATGAAAATAGTCAAATGGTCACACTCTGTCAGTATGCAAAAATAGATTAAAACATTAGATTTTTTAAAAACCCCAAACTTAAGGCAGACCATAGAAATGCAGAGTAAAAGGTTTTAACCAAATCTGGCTGAAACACGTGGGTTATCATTTTTACAACAGCCAATGTGGAGAGTGCAAAGGAGAAGTGTGTCCTATTACAAAACCAGGGCCACAGAGAGAGATACTTGAGAAGTGGGAATGCCCCACTGTGCCCCAGCCGGGCCAGCCTCAGTGGCCTCTGACTTCTCTCAGCTCTCACTGTTTCTTCTCTCCTCCTATTTCCAAAGCCATCCCATACTGTACTCCCTACCAACCTACCCTCTCCCCCACAACTCTTCCTAATTTCTCCCTCCCTTGCCCCCAAAATGGCTCCCATTTCAAAGCTGCAGTACACATCCAAATAACATTTCTGCTCCCTTCTTTTTAATTTATGCTCTTACTGCTGTGCTTCAGTTCTTCTCCACTTGTTGCCAGGCACTGCAGCTAAGTCTATCCCATAGAAGAAACCAGCTATCACCCATTTACAGCAAAAATTAAAAATAATTAGGAGAGTCAGAAGTGAACAAAAGCCCACCCACATGGGACTTAGAGTACAGAAAGAGAGGGCACTGTCTAAGCAGGGGGTTATGTATAGAAGACTTACTTTCACTCAGGTGCTGCCTAACTCAGAAGCACAGAGACTCCACACACATAGTATCACAGAATGGTAGGGGTTGGAAGGGACCTCAGGAGATCATCTGTTCCTTCTAGTAGCTTTTGATCTTTAAGTCTGCAGACACTTGAGATTCCACATACCAACTACAGCCACAGTCCCCTAACACCAGATGCATTACCTAGCTTCACAATCCGACCCACAAGCAGATGGGAGGATGTAATGTAGCCTTTATGTCAGTTCTGTGCCCACTCTAGGAAGGTCAACAACAGTACCAGGTGGTCTCATCCAAGCTGTGGTGAAGTTAACCAACTTTATTTGAACCAGTTGAAAATGTAAGCCAGTGGTTTACATCCTGTGGCTTCAATGCTGGAACCAGTCCACTGTTAAACCAGGTTAAATGTGTGCGCTAAGCAGCCTCAAAGTTTTGAGGCTACCAAGAAGCCAGTGGCTGGCTTGTAGACTCACTAAGGACTCAGTAACTGGAGATGTCTCTGCAGATGTCTCTGAAAGGACTAGATCCCATAATTGGCATTCTCAGGACATGCCTCCACACAGCAACAGATTCAGGATCGCTACACAAAATGCCAGGGCAGCCTCTACTTTCTTTTAAATGAAATTTTAATGTTTCCCTCTTACCTGACAGTCTAGTAATTAGAGGATTTCCCCTGACAGGAGACCCAGATTCAATGAACAACTTTACTTGAGGAGTTTAAATCCCACATTTTCCAGCTTCTCAAGGAAAAACCCTGAAGAGTGGGCTTTTAGTTCTTACAGAGACAGCACTCAAAAGTGAAAGGAGCAAGTCTGCATCCCCTAAGGCAGAGGAGCCAGCCACAATGGGCTCTACCAAAAACTTATGCAAATAAATGCTCAAACTCCATAAGGAAGACACAACCTTAACATCTCTGACCGTATTTCAAACCAACAGAAAAGATACATAGGCCCATCCTCAGCATTTGCACGGTGGGCTGCTATGGACAGATGTCAGGGTCCCACTCCTGTTCAGTTCACTGACCCATTTTATCCAAGGCCAGAGGTTTAGAATGATTGGAAACACAAAAACCAAGTTTACTGGCTGCTATGGACAGATGTCAGGGTCCCACTCCAGTTCACTGACCCATTTTAAACAAGGCCAGAGGTTTAGAAAGATTGGAAACACAAAAACCAAGTTTACTATTTCTCCAATGGAATCATAATACAGGATTTTTTAATATATTCAGTATAATTTCTGAAAAAGAAGCTTCCTGTAACACCTGCAAGTGGCTTAACAGATAGGTAAGAACTGTTACAGATCTCCTATGAACCCAAACCTAGAATTGTTTCTTCCATCATGTAGCTCTAACCATCATAGATTAATGCTGCATAGGTACAGAACTACCAAATTCTTGATTCAGTTACTGTAACTTACTGCTAAATTCTATTTGAGCATGAATGAATCCCACTAAAGTCAACGGAAGTGCCCATTTCACTAAGCAATTACGGGCTTAAAGCTCAATTCCTACATTCAAGCACCAGCTGTTCTAAGCGGTCTTGCCACATAGAGCATAGACTTAAAGGAAGGTAGGGGATGACAATACACCTGGTTTTTTTTCTGAATACAGCCTTCACAATTCTATACTTTCTGTCATCAGTGCTAAGAAAATTTTGCTTTGAAAATGCTTCTTTTAATATGATTTGATATCACTTAATTTACAGCAATTTAAAATAAGTTAACTGAAAGGTAACTAAGTGTTGTTTATACTGACTTAGTTGTAGTGTCTGCAGCATGATTTAGCATTAAATTAAATTATGCAATTTCTAATTGTTATCTTTATTTACTAGATCTTCACTGCTAGGGAACAATGTTAGCCATAATTTTCATTATTTTAACTCTGATTTGCCTTTGCTAAGGGAAATGTATAATTGCTATGACTGAACAAGGAATAAAGAAAAGCAAAACAAAACAAGAGTTTCTCTTACCTGGCAGCCTGCCCGCTGCAAGTGCATCCCCTGGTAAGTGTCCATTAACTCCATTAGTGGATGGGTTGTTCATCTGACCCAAGAGTCCACTCCTCATTTCCAGATCTGTGGGATATGGCCTACGTGGGTCCCCTTTAAAAAAAAAATATATATATTTTTAGAATATTTAACAGTTGTCTTGCAGACATTAACTTTTCCTTCAGTGCCTAGTTTCCTGACAAAAAAACCCCATACTGTGATTGTCTGGATCAGCAATGAGCATCACATCTGTTTTGTTAAAATCCAAGTCTGTGTCTTTCACTTAGACTTCCTTTGTTCATTCAAATTTGGAAGAAAAAGCACATTTAAAAAACAAAACAAAACAAAACCAAAACACCAACATGTTTTGAAGGTATCTTTGCTCTCCCTGCTACTTCACAGCAAAACAGCAAGGATAGGAATTGGAAAAAACAAGTTATAGTTCCAAAAATTGAAACCTGACATAATGAAAGCCCTGCTTCTGCCTCCACTGATTACTAACATCCCCTGTAAAGAATAGTACAAGGGGCAGGAGGGAACACAACCAAGCACATGGAAAAGTCTTTAACATACTTGGTTCTATCTTACAATTGGGGCCAACATTCAGGGGAAAAAAAAACAAAGGAGAGGAGAGGAGGCCAGTCAGTTAATGGAAGCACGCAGTTTCATAGCCTTTTGAAGATGTACACAAAGTCTACAGGATTTTGGATATCCATTTTTGTTGAAAATATTAGATATAACAGCGGAAAATAATGTTACTCTAATAAACTGCAGTGTTGTTCACCATGTAAAAGTATTGTGAGACCAGATACTAACCATGCTTTATTATAAAAAATATCTGTTGTCATAAACACGGTAGTTACCTGGTACCCATGTCAGAGGGGCACAAACAGCATTGCTAGCACTGATCCTGTGGGCATATTTAATTATTTCTTCAGAGGAAATGGCACCTGGAAGAAGGGAAGGAAAGTTACTATATTCTCAAGAGACTGCATCATTCCATGTTATCAGCATTTTCGACACTAATATAAAAAAGACTGGGACTGCCATTTGGTCAAACGTTAAGAGCATGCTTCAAATGCAATGACTGCTTAGAGGACTCTTAGATTATGCAGGGACAAGCTTCGCAGTGAACTGATTTTACAGCCATGAGTTCAGCACACTTTCAAAGTTAACATTCTTCAACCTTGTGAAAAAACACAAGCCAATCTTTTAAACAATGTACTTGACAAGCACAATTTGTAAGAAAACTTCAGCACCTGCTTTATTACTGCTTTATTGAGGAATTTTCTGTAGTAAAGATTTTTTTTTGTTTAGTAATTGTAGAGCACACATGTAGCAGCCCTTCTAAATATGTGCCTTTATTACAGTAATAGAAACTTTATTAAACTCCTTGATTTTTTAGAGGAAAGAAGTATAACAAAATAAAAAACACTGTAAAAAAAAACAAAAAACAAACAACCCATGAAAATGCCTCCCACAAAAAAAAGTCAATTTAGCCTAGCAAGTGCTAGACAGTGGCAGGAATTGCTACAAATACAAACCAGTATCACTAGCTACTCAGTCTTTCAAATACAATGCACATGCACACAAACATTTTCTCCCTTCCCTCAGTAGACCTGCTGAGACAATATAGCGAGACACTGATAATAGTATATCTGATTACCTGTCCAAGAAGAGTGTTAAGACACTTGAATTTAAGTTTAATTTTAAGATATGCTTGCCACAAAAAAATAATTAATTCCTGCCTTAATTCTGAGGAGATGGTTACAGATTCATAAGGAGAAAGAAATTTGTTTACACATAAAGCATCCAAAATTTCTGACGGCAGAATTAAAAAACAAACAAACCCTAACTTGAGCCCACTAGCAACTTTCTTTACAACTGCATTTACACAGTATGTACAATCATTGATACTCACCTTTTCTTGCTTTTTCAATTGATTTCAGTTTTTCCTTTGCTTGATAAACAGCTGTTGCCTAGTTGTAAAAAAAAAAAACAACAAACTAAACCAAACATTCAATGCATCTTTAATTTGTAAAATTCTACATAAAGTCAGCTCTGTGAATAAACCTTTGTATATAATCACATTTTAAGAGAGAAACTATTCAGTGAACATTTTTAAAATACGCAGAAATAAAGTAGGTCTGGAAGAAAATTAGCATTATAAAACAAAACTGAGTACCATGATAACTAAACAGTATTTGACTACTAGAAAAAAAACCTCAAACCACTAAGCTCTTATGAAGTTTTAAATATTTAAATCTTCTCAAATTAACACAACACCTCTTTCTCCAGATCACCTTTTTCACAAGTACATGCTGAAAAGCAAACACATCATTAAGAACTTACCAATATGTGCTCTGCTTCTTTTAGTTGTTTCTGCAGCTGCTGAATATCATTATCCCTCTTTTCTACTACCTTTTCTAAAAGCTGCATTTCATGATGGATCTTCCCCTGATCAACTGCCAACTTCATTAGCTCTTGAAACTCTCCATCTCTCTGAATCAGCAGTTCCAGGATCTATTGAACAAGAGTTTTGTAGAACTTTTAATTTAGCGAGAGTAACAAGACACCCTCAATCGCGCTCCAAAGAAGAGCAGCTGACATCCATAGAAGTATTTCAGTTTGCATGAAAAATGAAACAAAATTTCTTCCTCTGTTTGCAGAAAAAGCCTATGAAGCATACAACAACAGAACTAACAAACAATAACATGGACCAAGAATGCCTTTGTAGCGGGGCCAAAACCTCATAATCACCATTAGCCTGAGTATAGGCAACGACAAAGGCAGAAAGAAAGAAAAAAAGGAAAAAAATAGAAGTAAAGCATTGAGCTTACACAAAGAAATACAGTTTAGATCAGCTTACCTGGCTCTCCTCTCCTGGTTGGGGAAGCTTCTGGTTTCTTGAAATTGCCAAAATTTCAATTAGTTCCCTGAAAGGAAAACTCTGTGTTTACGTAATTTTCTAGAGCATCATTTGTAAATCACATCAAGTCATCCCAAAATTGTCAGAGTACTGATGTAATTAGAAAAGCATTCACGGACTTGAGTATTTTATAGTCTTATAGAATCATTTTAGTTGGAAAAGATCTTTAAGACCATTGAGTCCAACCACAAACCTAACACTGCCAAGTCCACCTCTAAACCATGTCTCTGTAGTGCAGTGTTGGCAGGGATTTCTCAATTAAGAGTAATTCTGTGAATAGTCTCATGATTGGAACATGTTTTGAGTTAAGTGCTCATGTGTATTTGTACTCACGAAACGCGCTGAGTTCCTGCCAAACTACATAAGACCTAAGCAGAAGCTGAGAGAAGAAATAGCACAATGAAATGCAATCATATCCTACCTCTACTTTGTTTGCCTTTGTTTGTTGCAAGAGGGTATGAAAGTTGTCTTCACTATTTTACTTCTCTACTTTTCCTCCATTTTTTCCCCCAACAGAGCAAGTTTCACACTTGGGTTTAGAGCAATCAAGTCTGTGCTTTCAAACACCTAAAGAGTTTGTTGTGAAACTACTTCTATAACAAGTACTTCCACAATGGGATATTAGTTGTATATCAAACACACACAAATACCAAAAAACTAACAATATTCTGGTACTAGATTAGAAGTGCTTCTCAAACAAACCTCTTGATCACGCTTCCAGGTACCCATTTACTTTGCCACCATTCTAGAAAGCCATCAAGAACCTTAGAGGGGACTCACTAAACAACAAGACCACGATGCAAAAAGGCATTTTCTGCAAATTCAGCAAACTTATGTCTTCTAAGGCTACGGATGGCCGTTCAATGCTATGCATGAGTAACTCTCTGAAGATACTGTCCTTGGAAGAGCACCGATTCTTTGCTTGGTTCAGTGCAAGCAGCTCAAGTAGGGTGTATGACTAATAGAGCAGTGGGGCCAGAGCCTTAAAATGAAAACAGGTACTTTTCAAAATATCTGAAAAAGCCCCTCCCCAGTAAAGCTCTAAGTAGCATCTCAGTCTTTGTCTCTTGGTCACTCCTGAACACTACAATAATTTAAAACAAATAAAGAAACTTGTCATTATCATTAAGCTTCATTATATCTGACCAACACTGAGCAGTAGCAAATAAAACCTGTTGTAAGTAGGTCAACTCCCACCATCAAGGCTGAAGTCGCAGAGGGCTGTAATTCTGTTCTGTGTTAGCCAGATAACGCACAGATGCAGATTCAAAACTATTCAAAGGCTACAGATTAGACATGTTGCTTAATTTTTCCCCCTACCACCAAACCAGTATCACGACTGTGACAGGCCTAGGTCCCCCGTGCTGCAACACCTTGCCGATCACCAGGGAGATTCAGGAAATGCTGCTGAGGCTTGCTCTGGATTTATTAACGTTTAATATTACTCCCAAGATTTAAAAATTAAAAAACACCACCACACATTCTCCAGCAATCCTCATGTCACAATAAAATCTAAACCTGAAAATAAAACCTCACCAGGAACAAGAGCAACTGAACGATACATTTGCCTTGTCCTACCAGTGGCAATCACACAGTGTGAGCCAGACACAGACAGTCTGGGTCACTCCCTCTGAGAAAGTTTCCCCACGCTTCTGTTCTCCTCCAGAAGCAAAATAACTATCTTTAACGGCACTGCCAGCTGTGCCTCCACAACACGGTGGACAACCTGGACGAGGTTTATCAGCCCGGTCTCAAGAGCGTGGAGTAAAGCGAGCACCGGAATCACCCCAAAGAGGAGCTCTGAGAGCTGCTAACGCAGGTAACGACCAGACAGACCGCCGTGAGCCACGCAACACCACCTACAAACGCCTGACTTCAGCGCGATCGTTAGGAAACGAGGGTGGCAACCGAGACAGAAAGGCAAGCGGACGAGTAAGGAAGCCTCGGCTTCTCCTTCTGCTCTG